GCTCCGCAGCCCGGGAGTCCCAGGGGAGCGGCGGCCCCGAGTTCTCCTGCAACTCGTTCCTACGGGACAAGGCGGCAGCAGCGGCTGGGGGAACCGGGCCCGGGGCAGGGATCGGGTCCGGGTCCGGGGCAGGCGGCTCGTCGGAGCCCTCGGCTTGCAGCGACCACCCGAGCCCCGGCTGCCCGCTGAAGGAGGAGGAGAAGCAGCATCCGCAGCCGCCGCAGCAGCAACTTGACCCAAGTAAGTGCAAAAGAAATTGCCCTCTGATTTATTGCTGAAACCTGTAAGGCTCGAATGTGCAAAACTGATAGTTTTACTAACCTATAAAAACGTCTAGACGCCTACCCTAGCCTGGGCGAGCAACACGCATCCATAAAAAAGCTTCCCATAACCACCTACCCTGGGCGCCCGGTTTGTACGGTAAACAGAGCGCGGGCATTAAGGCTTTTTATGATAATTCCCCCCAAGTTGTGAAAAGCGGCCATCCTTGGTGAAATTAATTTAACGATCTCTCTCTCCCACCCTGTCGTCTCACCTTGCTTCCCCTCCGCCCCCCGCTCCCCTTCTTCAAATCCCCTTCTTCATAGACAACCCCGCAGCAAACTGGATCCACGCTCGCTCCACCCGGAAAAAGCGCTGTCCCTACACCAAATACCAGACGCTTGAGCTGGAGAAGGAATTCCTCTTCAACATGTACCTCACCCGGGACCGGCGCTACGAGGTGGCAAGAATTCTAAACCTCACAGAGAGACAGGTCAAAATCTGGTTCCAGAATCGTAGGATGAAAATGAAAAAGATGAGCAAGGAGAAATGCCCTAAAGGAGACTGACCCGGCGCGCGCCGGCCTGACCGCTCTGCTGTGCAAAGGCAGTGGGGTTTTTCTTTGTGGGTGCTTGATTTCCAGAAACTCTCCAGCGATTCGGACATTTGTTTCCCCTTTTTTAGGTAGAAGTGACAGTGTGGTTGGTCTCTGTGAGGTATTTGGGGGGCTCTGTATTTGCTCGCTTATGTGTTGGAGAAACCAAGTGGCTTTGGGGTTTTGCCCTATCCCACTCCCTCCCTTTTCTGCCCGATGGTTCCTTAGGAAATGCTATATTTGTGAGTGCACGCTGGCTTGAGGAGCCCTCTCCTGTGTAAATGTCCCCTATGTTTCTGAAAAGTGCTGTAGTTTAGCCCCCAGCGCTGCTCACGCGGGGGCCAAGCGCACCCCACTTCCAAGAATGAAGGCAGAGTGAGACAGTGCGGAGGCCGGCCCAGGCCGAGGCCTGGCCAGGTTGCCCACCGGTTATGAAAGCCCCCTTTCCTCAGGTAGCCCGTGGGCCCTGCACTGAGACCTGGAATGAGGCTGAGAGAGAAGCTCAGGGCCTCCGGTGGGTCGGGGGTTTAGTCTCAGTGGGCTGGGGGAGCTGCTCTCTCCCAGGGAGGGCTCAGCTCGCGTGGGCGGCGGCGGGTGTAGGCCCTCTGGGTTCCTACCTGAGGACCAGTTGTAAATGTTACTGCTTCCTATCAATAAATGCTGACCTGATCAAATGGAGCCCAGAGCTGGCCCTGAACGCCTGTGTGCCTGCTTTCTCCCCGCAAAATATCACCCTCGCGGGACTTCTCCCCCATCCCTGGGAGGGAGACACTGCTAAAAATCAGGGGCCTTTCCACCTGAAAAGTCTTCTCTGATGTGCTTCTGAGTCCCCCTTTGTGTGGGCAGACCCAGCCTAGGGCACAACCCTTGGGGGGCCCTTGGTGGCCCTGTTCCTCCCTCAGCCTGCTTCCAGCCACTTGCTGAGCTCCGTGCCCTGGGCCCAGGGTCAGCCTCGCAGCAGTGCCCAGTGGATCAGCCGGGCCCCAGAAGCCAGGCTTTGGCGCACCGCACCCCACGTCTTCCTCTGCTCATGGAGTCCCAGCCATCGACTCCCCTCTCCAAACAAGGGACAGGCCAACTCTGCACTCTGGAACAACTCCTCCAGCTCAGTAGGGCTTGCTGGCCCGGGAGGGCTGAGCGGGTCAGCCTGTGAGCTTCCGCCCCTCCCCACAGGAGCCCCAAAGTGACCTTAGCAGATCAAAATGGTCAAGGCTCTCCTCGGCAGCTCCCGCCACCCGACTACCCCTTCCCCCACCCCACCGTTTCTGTGCATGTTTAGCCCCCAGCTAGGCCCTCTGAGGGCTGCATTCAGAGGCTAAAATGAAGGTCATTGTAAGTGAGGATTCGGGCCCAGCACAGACTTTGCAGGCCCTGAGAGGCGGCGGCGCCCGGCAGCCTGGGCTGGGCGGAAGGCGGGGACGATGGCAGAGTTTTGGGGGATCCTGATGAAAGAGGGGACTTGAAGGAAAAGCAGAGGGGGGCCGGGAGGGAAAGCCAAGGCCCAGATCTGGCAGAAGGTGCTTCGTACCTCCGCCCCTGTGGCCAACCCGATACCTAGGGCTCTTTGAAAACAGGAAGAGCCAAGGTGTCATAAAGCCATCGAGCCGGCGAGACGTCTGGAGGTAATGAGTTTACGACAGGCCCGGCGCTTCGCTTTGAAACCATCTCATTTTGATGTTTGTGTTTGTGGGAGGAAAGGAAAAATGCAGACAAAACTGGGTCTTAAAATCTGGACAATAAAATATAAACAAGCCCGCGTTGGACCAAGAAGGCGGGGGCTTGGGAGCCCCTGGTGAGGTGTGAGCACCTAGGAAATAAAAATGGGGGTGAGGGTGGGAAGGAGGAGATGGTGTATTTCTGATTTTAAAAATAGGCTGGATATTAGGAGTAGCCTCGAGTGGGTGGCTCTTTATAATATTTGACTATGGCCCCGGTCTAGCTCGTTCTTAAAAAAAAAATCGGCCTGTTATTTGGGGGTGGGAGTGTTATCGATCTTGGGTCATTTGCTCAGGCCCAGGGTCTCCCAGCTGCATTGGCGCCCGGAAAAGATGAAGTTACTTAAATACCTTTCACAAAATTATCTTGCCGTCCATTCCAAACTTCACCCCCAAAATATTGTTGGAAATTATATCTATTTGCTTATAGAAAATATAATCATTACAGCTGAATTGGAGGAAAGCATTTTTGAAAATAAGAAAAAAGATTAACCTCGCAGGAAACACCTAAGTTGATTAAAATCTTTGCTTTTTTAAAAAACTCAGGTGGAATGCTTAGTCAATTCATTTCACTCTGTGACTTCTGATAGAAATTTAAAATCTCATTTATTGTGCATGGAAGTTCCAATGAACACACCCCAACAGTGCCTTTCCAGACAGCCACTCAGAGATCCAATAGAAAGCTTTTCATTTGGCTTCTATTCGCCCCGTCCCCCAGTGCCCGGAGAAATGGGCCTGAAGCATTAAAATTACGAAGTTAAAATAGCAAATATTCATGATTTAATGCTGAGTAACAGCTTTAAAAGACAAAAATTAACAAAAGTAATGTCTGCAATTTCTCAGTTTTCGAAGTGCCTGGCTCCTCTAAAAAAAAGCCTGTTGCAGTTGATAGACGGTTTGATTTTTGTTAAATCCTGCCGGTCCTATAATTGAGGGCGAGTACAGAATTGGGACCTACTGTGTCTGGCAAAAGAAGGACTGGAAGCTTTTGAAAAAGACGCTACTGGAAGCTCTTGGGAGCACAATTATCTTTGGCATTCACGAGCCTCCGTTTGCTGCACTTGACTTGTTGACAATCAAAGGGATGAAGCATTATTAGTGTCAGCGATCCAAGCGCCAGTCAAACTAAAGAACAAGATTGGAATTGGTTTGAGTCGAATAAAGGCAAGTTAAGCTCTGTCGGCTCGAGGTGGCATTTGGCCACTAGAGAGCGCCGTTGCTCCACTTTGTGATCTCGTAAAGCTCGAGTTGCTGCGGAGGAAGGTTTTGATTAAAAATATTTACAATCTTATTTTTAATTCCAAATTAGGATAAATTTAACCAAAAGAAGCAATGTACACTATTACATTCTCCAGCCGTGTGTGTTAGGTATAAAATTTTGGCTTAGTCAGGATTTCAGAAAATTTGGACTATGGCGCAGCTGAAACTGTAAAACGTTATGGTAAGTTAATGCATTCTATCAAAACAGAAGCGTGTAAAAGCATAGATCTTTATTTACTAAGTTAATCGTGCTCTTTTCCCATTCAGATTATAAATAGAATGCTTGAAAAAAAAATCGGTTTTGTCCCAAGAGGAAATGTTATGTTGTAATGTTTTCTTAATTAGGCCAGAATGTGTAGAAATGAATTTTGTAGTGTTTGTGTTTCTTTTTCGCCCCCAGGAATCACACTGTTCTAGAAGGTGCCTTGAATTATTGAGATCTGGGCTCGCTCTTCTTTTTCCCCATTCCATTCCAAAACCCACTCATATATCGCGAGTTTAAACACGCACTCACACACGCCAAACAGTGAAATAAAAAGGCACAATTACAAAGTTAGTTCCAAGGCTTTACTGAAAATAATACTCTTTTAATTGGGTATTTGCAAGATTGAAGTACAAATCATTAGCTGTCAGAATCGGTTTCGTTCGCCTTCGCATTTAAAAGACGTTTTATCTGGCGATAACTGGCAGAAAACATCAGCAAAAACCCCTCCCCTCCACCACCCCAACAACAAGTCTTCTGCACTCCGTACTAATTTAAAAATTATATAAAGTATGCCTTTATCACCTGGAGATTCCTTAGCAATGCGTTTACCCTAACCATTTCCAGCCATTCCCTGTAGAAACAATTGAAGGGGTCAGACATTATTGTCTCGTTTGTGCCTTTCCATCTCGACCTTATTTTTTCCATTTGCAAAATATGATATTCAGTCCACCCGGGCTGACTTCAGGATCGCACTCACAGGCTGGGCCAACCCGCGAGGAGTGAGGGGTAGTTGAAATCACTCGCCTGCTGCGCCTTTGGGGGCCGTCTGGGGTTTTTGGACATTCGCATTGGGCGTGAAAAGCGGCGCGGTGTCTTTTAGCTTTAGCGGGAGCGTCCTCGGTGGGCTCGGGGCGTGTTTCCGAGGACAGTGCCCCAGGCCGGTGGGCCTGGCGCCCTTACAACAATGGATTATCCCCCAAGAAAGGGGGCTCGGTCGCCCAAAGAGCCCACGGTAAAGGCCAAGTAGGCGAGGGAAAACGCATTCATCAGAGACCTATTACATTTATTGGATATTAAAACGGGAGTAGAGAGGAAAAAAAGAAGTGGGGGAGAGAAGGCGGTTGGTGGTGTAAGCCAAGCGGCTTTAGAGTGATCTTCCAGAATCAGGAATATTTTGCGGATTCACACTCGACTTGCCACTTGATTCGGGACTTTTCCTCATCGTTCACAAGCTAGGATGAGCCTTCTCTTTTGGAGAAATTAGTAACTTTTTAAGCTGAGCCCGGCGCCCGCTCTCTCGGCAGCAATTTCGCAGGCTTGGCGAACGAACTAGAATCGTTAGCAGGAGATAGGCGCCGCCTGCAGCTGCCTGGAACCGGCGCGATCCGAACGCTCCATGGGGGGACTCGCGGGCCTCGGCCCCCCGCGCTCCGCCCGGGGCCACCGCCTGCCCTGGCCCGCTCCGCGCCGGGGCCGAGACCCGGGAGCCGCGTCCTGCCCGAGGAAATACCACCCACCCCAGCGTGAGTCCTGCTTCCCGCCTTGGAACATTTCTGTCCGCTGTTCTATTTACTCCCTCAGCAATGCTAATGCCTACCCCCACATTCTTCAGCCTCCCCCCTGCGCCCGGTTCTGACGTCTATCAAGGGTGAAATGATGGAAACTATATTCATGGGCATGATTTCCATTAAATATCAATTAACCTGGGAGCCTCAGCCAGGCGTGCAGTGCGTCAAGGGTAAATGTACATCTCATTTCCACCAGCCCTCTCGGCTGGAAAAGAAGGGCTTAGATTCGCTTTGATAATGCCAAGTTTGAGGGTCACACTAGTGGTCTTTAATCACACCACTTACATAGCACCTAACTCAAATGTATGGCCCGGTCCGTCTACACTGCTTGCCCTTGCTCCTTGCCTGCGCCCGCGTGTCCAGAGGCGCAAAAGCCACGGCCAACTTCTGCGGGGCTGCTCCAGGGGCCGGGGGAGGGAGTCATTTGCTCCGCAGCCTCCTGGGAGTGGCCTCCCTGCCTACCCCAAGTGTAAGGTTCTGCCGCAACCCCGCCTCGCCGGTCGCAGCCCGCATTCCCTCGGCCCCGGGGGCACGGCGAGCCCTTGGCAGTGCGGCTTTATGGGCCCCCTTTAAGGCCGGCGGAGGCATCTCCCTGCCGGCGTGAGGCGTCCCGTCGGGAGCAGCGGTGTCGCCTCCGCGCGGATCCCTCCGCGCGGTTATCTCTCCCCCATCTCGCTCCCTGTCGGCGCAGTGGCGTGGTGCGAAAATGCCTCGCCGGGGCGCACCGGGGCGGCAGCCTCGGCGGCGGCGGCGAGAGCGGTGGGAGGGGGCCGCGGGGGGGGCGAGGTGAGAGGTGGCGGCGGGCAGAGGGTGTTTTTTTCTTTTCCCTCCAGCGCGGGGGTTTGTAAACCGAAGCCAAAGAGTGTCCCCGTGGGCCGGGCGCACTTTTTTTCTTGTCCCGGTGCGTTCAGGGCCGCCTGGTGCCTGAGAGGAAACAGTGGAGGCAGCGGGGCAGGTCACCCGGGGCGTCGGCGATTATATTGCTGCCGAGCCGGCGCGCGCCGGGAGAGGCCGGGCGGGCGGTGGAGCGCGGGGACTGGGCGAGGCCCCGCGACCCGC